CTAGAAACAGGAGTAAGTTGTTCTCTGTCTGTCTGCTTTTTGGATTTTAAGCGTGGGGCTGGAGCAAAGCAGGAGAGCCCTGTCTTTGGCAGTGTTACTGGGGAGCAGAGCTGGGCTGGGCTGAAGGTCCTGCAGCTCTGGGCTGTGTGCTTCCCATGGTGAACTGCTGGCTGGGAAACTACGCTCCTCTCTACCACCCAGGGTGTGCACTGAGTTGCTGGGTAGGAATTCAGTGCAGGAGGGAGTGATTCCTGCTCTGAAGGCAGTTTGTAGTGAGTGCTTGGAAACCGAAAGCATGAGTTTGTCCTGATAAAACCTCTTGTGTGGTTCCCATTTCCTGTAGGCTGGCTCTTTCTTCTCCTTTGTACTACCTTCTGCAGTTTGTAGCACACTTCTGATAGGCAGGCTTAAGATAGCTACAAACTCGAGCTGATACTGCTGCGTATCCCTGTGCACTGTGCTCTGCTGCCTTGCTGGGCAGTGTCCCCTGTGGGTTGCTTACCACATCTGGGCAGATCATGCTGCACGTGGTGCCTGCTGCTCGTGCTGTGCCCTGTGGCAGCAGAGGGCTTCCTGATTCCCTCATCCAGCAGCTTGATCTGTGGCCCACCAAGGGCTGCCCCAGCTGAGGACATGGACCCACAGGTGCTGCACATCAAAATATGCCTTGAAACAAGGGGTACGGCTTGCTCAACCTGGAGATGTACAGCATTGGACTGCACTTACAGCATTAACACAGTGTGTGCTGTTGGAGCCATTTCTAAAGGCCGCTCAGAATATTTGTGTTCTGGAAGGATGACTTATTTCAGACTGCGCTGCTTCGTGTGCTGCATGCTGTTACGATATGTCTTCATATAAAATTCTGAGATTCCATCACAAGTTGTTGATCGCAGCTTGGAAGAGAGTCAAGTTTTATTATCTGCTTGGAATAGATGAGGGCTTTCGAGTTTAGGTTCTTGTCTGTATCTGTAGCACTCCACATACAATCTTTGCCATAATTACATGGCCTGCATTCTTTCCTGTTTCCTCTCTGCTCTCTGGTTCATCCTGTTTGATGCTTGCAGTAGCCCTTGAAGCTCCTCTGGGACACGGGGAACACCTCCACAGGTGCATGCTTAGCGAGCCTGGCATTTCTCTGCCTGTGCTGGCACTGAGCCACAGGGCTGCCCAGGCCATGTTTGGGCCGTGCTGCTACCATCCTCCTGCCCAGAGCAGGGCTGTGTGGGTGAGGAGCTTCTGTGTGGGCTGGAGGAAGCTGCGGTGCTGGGGCTGGAAGGGGCCTTTGGAGCTCCCCAGCCCAACTGGCCCTGTACAGTTGCAGTGCTCCAACTGTGCCCCTGCCCCAGGGCAGAGCAGAGGTGAGGAGCACCTCCCTGCCCTGCTGGCCACACTTGGTGCAATGCACCCCAAAATGTGACAGCTGTCCACACAAATGGTGTCTGTCACTGTTTCCAAGAGCTGCTCTCCCCTCCCAAGGGCCGAGGGACCAGGCCCCACGCTGACAGCCAGCTGCAGGGGCTGGAAGTTGGCCATAGGAAGGGCACCAAGGTGCCACACCATTCCTGGTGTCACACTGCGGCAGAGCTGTGATGTGGCACATGGAGCATCACTACGGTGTGGTTGGGGTGAAATGGGGTCTGGCGGCAGTGCCTTTGTGCCCTGCTGGAGGCCTTGCTCCTGTAGGGTGTAAAGCTTCAGTGAAGAAGGTGGGAAAGGTTAGTTTGCTTAAAAACAGTGGTTTAAAAGACACCGTTCTGCAGATTTTGCATGCCTCATCCAAGAAGCCAATTTTGAGTCAAGCTTTTGTGTGATTCTGATAATCAGTTAAAGGGTGGTTGGTCTCCAGAAGCTGCTCGTGCATAAGAAGGGTTGTGTTGTGCTCCGTTAGTGCTGGTGACAGAGTGCTTCGAGGCTGTCTGGGTTGTGGCAGCTGTTGTGGGGGGCTGTTTATGGTGGCTGGGGCTGCTCAGACCAGTTCCCCCATCTGGGAGACCTGGGAGCTGTGGCACTGGGAGCTGAACCAATGCAGCTGCAAGTGGGAGACTTTGGGTCAGTGCCCACTGGTTCTGGAAAGGGAAGCAGGTGAGGTATGTCTCTGAATATGAAGAATAGGTGTAATGTTTGCAAGTATCTTATTTCCCAGCTGTGACCTAGAAGGCTTTTATTCTTTATGTGAGTATGTAGCTTGAGGATTTTAACAGCAAAATGTAGTCAGAAGAAAATAGTACTTCAAGCTACTGAAAAAAAATACCATGTAGTTATTTATGTAACTCACTGAGTGTCGAGTCTTTCTTTTATTATATTCATAAATTTGTGCAAACAGCTTGGAAATGTAGCACACAGATTTTTGTGCTTCTTCATTTATGCAGTGATACTTCTGGTTTGGTTCACGGGTGGAGAAAATCTAGTTTTGGTTGGTGCAGCAGGAGTTCTTTAACACAACTAAACATGTCATGGTCAACTGGTTACAAGATGTGATGTGATTCCTTCCTTTTTAAAAAGCTGGATTTCTTCAGAAATAACAGAATGTGTGTTAGAAGGGACCTCAAAAGACCATGCAGTGCAATCCCCCTGCCAGCACAGGAACACCCGGGTCAGGGCACACGGGTGGGTTTTGAATGTCTCCAGGAAGGAGACCCCTCCACCTCTCTGTGCAGCCCGTTCCAGTGTTCTGTTACCTTCATCACGGAGAAGCTTTTTCTGGTATTTACTTGGAACCTTCTATGTTGCAGCTAGCACCCACTGCCCCTGTCATTGGATGTCACTGAGAAGAGCCTGGCTCCATCCTCATCACACTCACCCTTCACATATTTATGAACATGAATGAGGTCACCCCTTAGTCTCCTCTTCTCCAAGCTAAACAGACCCAGCTCCCTCAGCTTTTCCTTGTAAGGGAGACGCTCCAATCCCTTCACTGTCTTTGTGGCTGTGGGCTAATGAAAAAAATTTGGTTAGTATGATCCAGCAGGACACACAGTTCTGGTATCACAATTCCCTTGCTTTGAGGAAAAAAACCTGCCATAATTGTCAGGAATTTGCATAGTTACATCAAGCAGTGCGGGTCTCTGGGGAGCTGGGATGGCGGTCAGCCCCTGCACCTCCAGCTTTCTGCTTTGGCCCTGCTGAGCAAAGATGCGGGGCTTTGGTTCTGATAGCTGTGTACCCAGGCTTCACAGCTAAATGTGGTGATTTAAGGAGAAACAAGTGCTAGGACATACTTCCATTTGTTTTCTTGAAAGCCAGTGTTTTTTCTGTCATGCAAGTTGGCTTGTTGGAAGATGCTAATTTGTTCTTTTGAAACTTGCTTGGATTCTAAAGCATATTGTGTTCCCAGAGCAGGCGTTTGTGAGGCAGGGTCTTACAGCCATATTTGAAGTGACTCTGTGATGCTGCATAAGGTGTGTGGAACTCCTTGAAGGCTGCCTCCAGTTTGCAGTTGGAAGTTAAGTTATTATTCTTATGACTTGCAGAGGCCGTATGGTGACAATGCACAGTACACAGAGTGCTCAGTGTGTGTTTGCCATTGCCACGTGCTTTGTGCAGCCACGGGTGTGTGGCCTGATGCTCATTGCCTGCGTGTGTTCTTTGTAGTTCTGTTAATTTGGGTGGGGGGGGGGATTTGGGGCCCTCCTCTCAGTCACAATATAGAGGAAAGGTGAAGTTGGTCTTTTTTGAGATTGAAGTATAAAGTCGGTGGAAAACTTGGTACTCCACTTATGGTCCAATAAAGGTTGTCTTTGTGATGAACCCTGCAGAGTGTGTGCTGCTCTTCCCAAAAACGCTGGGGAAGGTGCAAGTCCTCTTCCTGCACAACAATCAGTGCATCAGTACATACATCATTCCTGAAGCCTGCAGTAATTTGGTGTGCTTTCTCCCCCCAGCATGCTGCAAGCACAGTGAACAGAGCAAAGATGGTATCAATTCTTAAAGCAAGTTTTCTTACTTGTTTTGTTTTTTAAAGATCTTTGGTGCCACTTGTAATGCCAACTGAAAGGTGGAATGATGCCCAGAGCCTCCCTTGCCATGCTGCAGATGCACAGGGGCTCTCAGGGCTGTGTGTGCTGCCTGTGCCGTGTTGCAGCACTGCTGTCTTTTGTGCTGGGGCTGCTGTGCGGAGCTGGGGCACAAAGCTGCCCTTGTCACCTCAGAACTCAGCTTTGTCTGAGCTGTTCTAACTTGACACATGTTTCTATGGGATGCGAGCTGCTTTGGTCCTGGCAGGATGGGTTGGGTTGCGCCTACTTAAGATTCAGGTCAGTTCCATGCAAATTTTTCATTCAGCCCCAAACACTGGGCCTTTTAAGAATGTTCCTGACCTACATAGGCCTGGCTTTAATACCTCTGAAGCTAGATTATAGAGTTCTGTGCTTGTTCTAAACCACTCGGTCTTGTCCCGTGCCTCCGCTGCCGCTCAGAGCTGGAGGAGCCATTCCTGGCTGGCAGCTCGTCGCCTCTGTGCTGTGCCTGGGTAGGATGAGCTGTGCTGGGGAGCTGTGGGAGCAGGGCTGTAATGCCTGGTGGAGACGTGGGATGGAGTGCTGTTGGGATAATTGGTTGTAAAAATGGTTTTGAGGGGATGGAGGGGAGCTGAAGGTGATCTTGCAAGCAGATCAGCTGTTCTGCTGCAATAAGGACGTGGTGGCCATGTGGCTGATGGCAGTGTTCTTACTCTGCTATTGCCGCAGTATTGTGAGTGCTTGTCATGTATGCAGGTACGTACAGCACCACGTATGTGTGTACCCACACATCTCCCCATGTGCTTAAATACTCTTTTGTCATTCTGCTTGAGTTGCAAATACCAGAGCATTCTGGCTTGCCTCTGTCTACATTTGTTTAGAAGTCACTGCTATTGCGATGAAAATCGTTAATTAATCTATTGCTACTCTTAAGTTCCAATTTGTCACAACATCATCTTCGTCTTCTACAAATGGTCTACTCTGTGTTGCCTACATTCTGACATGGTATAACTGCCTATTAATTTTTATCTTCTTTTCTTACAGTAAAAAATGGCATTTCAGAAGGCAGTGAAAGGAACTGTTCTCATTGGAGGAGGTGCCATAGCAACAGTTTTTGGCCTCTCTCAATTTTCTCAGTATAGAAACAAACACGTAAGTATTAATTATGACTTCTGATAAAATATGAAGCTTAAAATCTGTTTAAGCGTATGTTAGGCTTGTACGAATAGCTTTGTTTGGGAAGGGGTGCCAAGAGCTCTCAGCTTGATTTGCTGTGTGCTATCTGGAGGATGGCATTCAGTGATGCTTCACCATTGCAGGTCTTTAACCAGTGGCAAAATATGATTCATGTAAATCGTTTTTCTTGTTTAAAAAATGTCCTTTGGATACCACTAAGGGATGTCATTTAGTTGCAGGAGAAGTGGGAAGTACCAGCTGAAGTGCAGGTTGCTTGAAGTACGTAGAAACTCTAGGTTTACCTGAGAATCTCAGCTTTATACAGTGATTGTGGCAACTTTGGGGCAGTTCAGAAAACTGATAATTGTTCTAAGGTGGGATCTGTGGGATGTCTTCTGCTTCTGGTAGCCCTGGTGTCTCACTGGGTGGGCACAACCTAGACAAAGATGTGCTCAGGACATGGTTTAAGGCTGTATTTTGGGTAATAAAGGCACACTGATGGGATTCCCAGAGCAGTGAAGGAAGATGGTGAAAATATGCTGATAAAGAAAGATAGTAGCAGGAAGAGATGTAGTAGCTCCTGGTTCTAGACTGTGTCACTGTTCTAGTGCTTCTTCAGGTGAATTGGAGCAGCCATGTTTTGTTGTTTTCGTTTCCCACTTCTTAATGCAAAAACCTAGGAAAAACATCAGCAGAAGGAACAGGAGTTGTGGACTGCTTTTAGGCAGAGCTGGTGCTGATGAGCAGCTACTGGTTTTAGGCAGACACCTCTTATTTCAGTGCAGTTGTGTTGTGCTTCAGAAGTTCATATATTTGTATGCTATGCGTGTAAAGAACACATCTTCTCATCTGTTAGGTGTAGGCAGTGAGGCTGCTACCTCACTCCTGGCCAGCACTGCAATTGGTGTTCCATAGTGTTGCACGTAGGTGCAGTCAGAGCTCTGGCCTGATTTACTTCCATCTGGTTTGGAAAGAGCTTAAGGCTTAAGAGGGGCACCTCATCCTGCCTTTCAGCAGCTAGGTGAGCGGGTGCTCATTTTTCAGGGTGCTTTCTGCTTCTCACCTTAGAAATGCAATTGGCCAGCTCCTTACCAACAGCAAGTTACCACGAGCTGCTTACCTACGTATTTACTGTGGGTTCCCATTCAGACCACGAGAGCTGAAACCCAGGGATACAGGTAGATCTTAACTTCATGAAGGTGTGCAGAATGGGTGTGAATAAATGACAGTCTGAATCTTCTGGCTGTTTCCATGTGAAGAGGAGTAGAGCTGAGATGTTGGTAAAGCCAATGAGATGAGTCATTCCCAGGGAGCCTAGCAGGAAAGTGGATAAGCCAGGATCCTTATAGCTTCAGATACTGTTGCAAAAAATAAAGCCTAGCATTTTAAGTGAGCTTCCCATTGGACTGCCTGTTTTGAGCCTAGCTGCTAATCTAACTCTCTCTGGAGCCGTTATCATAGGATATTACAATCTGGCTTCATTACTGTTGGAAACTGCAGCTTCAAATCTTAGGACTGCTAAATAAAAGAAGGAGTTGGAAGGCACAACTGATCCGGGTAGATAATTTGTCATATATGCAATATTTCAAAACTCAAGAATTTCCAGTCTTCTGCCACTATTGGATGGTCGTTCCAAATTTCCAAAGGCAAATTAAAAAAAAAACCAAAAACACACTTTAAAGAAAGTGGTGTCAAAATGAGAAAATCCACTTGTCCCTTGATGTCTGGACCTATTGTGTAGTGTCTGTCTACAAAGGATCTGAAAAATTTCTAGCATATGTGTAAGCAAATGGATCTGTCAAGTGAACAGCGTGTTGTTTTCATGCTGTACTAACTTGCACATTTCCCACGTGATGTCCCTTAAAGCTTCTGCCTTAACCACCTAATGTAGGGCAGCAGGTGGAACGTGACTGCAGGGATTGACACACAGGAGGACAGTCCATTTGTAGTGTTGACATATCTAAGCTGTGGGCATGTCCCCCGGCCCAAGTGTCCTCTTTTTAATAATGCCTGCCAATCAAATGTATGCTAGGGCAAAGATCTCGTCTTCCTGTGCCAGGGAAGGATATTGCCCCAAGATGTGCACTAATTGGCTGCATGTTGTAAGAAGTCTGTTTGTTATTTCAAGATCAGAATCCATCACATAATAAGACAGAAATAAAATGCAAGTAAAGCAGCATGCTTGGTTTGTAAGTGGCTCTGGGTGTCTGTGCTGTGCTTAGCATCCTGGGATTAGAGCCCCCAGGTAAGGAATGCAGACCTCCCTTGGTCAGTAGCGCTGAGCACGCAGTGTGGTTGACTTATCTGTCTTTGTTCTGTGTTTGCTCAGCTGATGCTGGATGCTCCTGTGCAGCTCAGCTGTCCCAGGTTGCCCCAAGGGAAAGCTAAGGGGTGGTGAGCTGCTGGCTCTGGAGAAGGGGTGGGAGATCCTTGGATCTGTTAGTTGGGCATATTAGTGCGTGGCTGGTCTGCTGAAAGCGATGAGTGTTGGTATTTTCTGGTGTGGAAACTGGAGTTGTTCTTGCTAGGCTTAAGGGTGAAAGCCTGGATGAGAATGGCCTGGTTAGTGCCCTTAGCCTTGCATGGGTGTAAGAACTGGAAGGTGTTCACACCCTGGAAATAAAACACGGTGCATTCTGATCTGTCCCAATGTCAGGTTGTTTATCTCAACTTCTTTTCCTGTAACACACAGATAAAAATGCTGATGCCTGGGAGACTGTTTCTGCAACAGCAACTGAGGCAATAGAGTTATATGTTCCCTGATTGTGTATGGCATATGCAGGCATGCCAGAGGTTGAGTCAGTTCTCTGATTGTGTGTTGTTTTTTGAGCTGAGCGGGGAGAGCATGGGAACATGTGTTGACATGACAGAGTTGCTGAATTTAACTCAGAAGCTGATAGATGAATACTGCACTTCTGTGTTTCGGATGGAAACTCGATCGCTGGGATGTTTGCTGAATTAATGTGAAGGCTTAGTTCCCTTCTGTGCCACCTCTGTAAATTAAATTCATCTTGAACAATACAGATAGTTCTCCAGCTTGGAAGCACTACGTTCACTACTGAATCATGAGCTCCTGGAAATGAAAATCCTGTCTGAGATGAAGCTGGGCGCCTACACGGGGCTTAAAATACACAGCCTGCCTGTGTGGGAGTTCTGGCCTCGTGTATTCAGACAACTGAACGATAGAAATGGCCCCAGTGCTGCAGCCTGCCTTGGTGCCTCTTCTACAAGCACTTCTAATGGCCCAGGTGCCGCAGCCAGCCTTGGTACCTCTGCTGCAAGCACCTCTAATGCTAATGGTGATAGAGGAATGGAAATGGTGATTTCTCTCGCTTTGTAGCTGGTGACAGTTGCCGAGTTCTTACTTTGTGTGCCTGTTCATTGAGCCCAGTGGGCTAGCAGCAGATACGATGGGGTATTGTTTGGTTTTCTGGGTTTGACTCCGAGCCGCTGCTACTTTCTCTCTGTAGCTGCCGAGGCAAAAGCGCTGCTTTGCTGTGGGGCTGCGCTCGGTGCCTGAGTGCAGCCCTGTTCTGGTGAGCGTTGTGGGGCAGCAGGAATTGCTCATTGCAGGGAGTCCAGTGCAGACAGCGATAACGTGATAATGCATCGGAGCTTGCTTTGGGCTTTTTAATTACTTTCATTTTCTTTTTTAATGAATAGGGATGATGAATTTGCCTCCGTGAACCTACCTGGAGATTTACATTAGCCAAATTAACAAGAATGCTTGCTTATGGATTACTAGATCACTTTATAACTTGATGATTGAATTCAGACTGCCAAACTACATTTCTTCTCACTAAGAGCGTAATCAAAACCATTCAAGGAACTCTTGCCTGAGAAATTGTAGATATAAACAGCAATTGCTTATTTCAGTAAACATACTTGTTCACTGCCAAACTAATCACGTTATTGCAGATGGAATCCCTGTATGCAGCTTTTCTTCAGTCTCACATTTAATTGACAGCAAGATGAATCATATCTATATCAATTCCTAGGCTGCTAATCACTGTGCTTACTTTCAGTTACTCGTGTGCTGATCTCTGAGCTTTTGCTGTGCCAGGGACTGTTTGCTTGGAGCTCTCTTTTACTATATTTGTTGTAGATAATGCATTTTAAAGAAACTAAATGGTGTCAGTGCTTCACGAACTCTGACTTTTTATTGTATTCCTTTTCCTGAAGTTAAGGTGAGCGCTTGGGAAATAGTCTGTATTAGGAAATAGTCACAGAGGGCAGTGGTAGCGCTGGCTGTTACCTTCCTGTGCTGCACTGTTGCAGTTAGCCAGTATGGAAGTGGAAGAAAAGCCTTTGTGTTTCAGTCTATGTGATCCACGCTTGAGATGAACTTGGTCATTAGTTGTGCGTTTTGAATGTGCTCTTTCTTTAGGCAGGCCTAGAGGTTGCTGGATTACATTGTCAGTTGCAGTGATACGTTTATCACAACGCTGAGAGATAATACATTTCACTTACAGTTCAAGCCAAGTCAAGGCTTCAGTGTGTGGTTGAGTTCACCGATAATTTACAGAGGTCCTGCAAAAATCCCTTCTACCTTAGGCTCCCCAGGTCTGCTAACAGAGCTCCCAGAAGCACAGAATTGCTGGCTGAAGAGGAGCTGCACCATTTGGCCGGTAGCTGCTGGAAACCTCTTCAGCTGCAGATAGGAACAGATGGCTGCAAGTGACAGAGCTACCTTTTGTCAGTCAAGCTGTTTCGCTATGGCAGGTGTATATTCCCTTCCCTCTGCAAATGCCAGGGAAGCACTTGGAGTTCTTAAAACTGAAGGTGGCTTGTACATGCAGATAGCTCTCTGCAGCTTCATGGCACTGCGGGACTGCTGGGAGTGGGGAGAGCAGCAAGGCAGGGCATGCTGCTGGGGGGGTTGTAGGTGGGCTTTGTCACTTGAATGTAGTTTCTGTCCTTTCTAGGAGCCCTGGGCACAGGCTGTCTTACATCAATTAAATCTGCTGCTTGGACTGAAGATGCATGGCATTCATAGAATTGTTAGTGTTGGAGAAAACCTCTAGGATGCCCAAGCTCAGCCCACCCCCAGCATGCCCACTGACTCTGTCCCTTAGTGCCACGTCCACACAGCTCTGGAACACCCCCCAGAGATGGGGACTTAGGGCATAGGGCTCAAACACTTGGGTTTTTGTTTTCTGCTTGTGCAGGAAGTGTAACTTCCAGGAAATAGTATGAAAATGGGTGGCCTTAATTTCCTGTTTATTTTGGTCCATTCTGCATCTTCCAGTTAGTTACCCTGACCCCGGTGTCCCAGTCTCTGCAGTGCATATTTTTAAAGTGCAGTGGTTTAAAGGCATCTTCTGGAAGTGCAGCTGGAAAACGTGGGTCCCTTGGGTCTTCAGAATAAACAAGCAAAAAACAGGCAAAACAGTGAGAGGATCTCAGTGCCTAGCTGTGTGCAGAGTGAGGGGCAATGGTGAGTGAGGGAAACCTGGGAGGAAGAGAGCTGGAATGCAAAGCAAAGCTGGTGCTCCAAGCAAAGAGACAGCCAGCATAGCTTTTTGATCTTGTATGTTTTTAATAGTATTTGCTCCATAATGCTTTAATACAGTATTATCATTACATAAAGGTAAAGCAACTTGAAATGTTTCAGTTTACCTTCTGGGTAATAGGAAGTGCTGTGATTTGTTGCATGCATATTTAAGTGTGTGTGGCTGTTGGATACGCCTAAAATGCTGATCTTTGTTTTGCTTTTAATCATTGTAGGGCACCCTGGTGAATGTTCAAGCTGCAGAAGCAGTGACTGTTCCCATAAAGAGCGATTTTCCTACAAGAGAAGAGCAGATTTCCACTCTAAAAAACACACCTGAGTTTGACGTTCTTATCATAGGTGGAGGAGCAACAGGAAGTGGTTGTGCCTTAGATGCAGTCACTAGAGGTAAGACTTCATTCTTGGATTACATGGTTCATAATCATTAATCAGATTGGCTTTCAAAAGCCATTTGAAGGTAAAGAATTTGTCCTCTGAATGCCTGGTTATAAAACTGCCTTCTGATCTCAGGGGCAGAAATGAACCCGAAGAAAAAAAAAAAAAAAATCTTGTATTTTATTTCAGCATAGTTTTCATTGTCTAAATGCTTACATGCAGTTCACATCAGTTCTGACCCTCTGCTGGCTGCTCTTGGATGGATTTCTCCTCTCTTGCTTAGTGGGTTTACCTGCAGTTACACTTGCATGCCTGCAACAGAGAAGACAGCAGTTACACAACGTTGCAGTACACACGTTATTTCTGAATGGAGCAAGCATGAATTCACACGGCTCTCAAGCTCATGTTTCCTGTAACGTGAGATCTACAACCTCTGCTAATGCTCTGTACTGCCTGTGGCACTGCAGGGTTAGGGAAGGCTGTTTGAATGTACTGGGGAGCCTACTCCCAGCCTTCAGTCTGTAGCTGCATGCAGTAGGTTCGTGCTCTCCTGGCTCCTCTTTTGTGAGATTAGCTGTGTAACTGGTTTAAGAAGCTACCTAAGTGGGAAAACTAATTGTCAACCTTCTGTCAGAAAGCTTGAGATAAATAAGTTCAAGGTGATGCTTTCTACCTGACTTCTGCAAGGGACTGAGAATGTCTGTATGGCTGTGGGCTTCAGCCTGACAGATGTGTGGCAGCTCGTCTGTCCTGTGCAGAGCTCTGGTTCTGGGGGGAATGCAGGGCATGAGCACCTACTGTTGTCCTCCCTGCATGGTAACTTTGGCTTCTACTCAAACTCAATGGCTCTTGGAGGGAATCAGTAATTTTACAAGTTTGGTGAAAATAAGTCTCCAGATGCATAGGTAAAAATGCACAGGTTTCTGAGAGAGAGGCTGGAGCATCAGCTTCTGTTCAGTTGAAATGCTGTACTGTATTTTTATTTTAAAAACCCAGAAGAATTAGAACCGTGGGATGTGTTCTTTCGGTTGCTGTTTCCAGTGGAATCAGCCAATGAAAGAGAACAGGCCTTCATTGGTATCTGTATTTTTGACCTTGCTATTTCCTTTTTTGTGTTTGTTTTCTTTTTTTTTTTTTTTTGAACTGAAATGCAAAATATGAAATAATCATGAAGTTCTTAAGGTTGTTTAACATGTAGATATAGGTCAGAAGAGGTAAAACCTGACTCCAGGAATGTTACATGGAGTTTGATTTGGAGAATACCTGGCCAGAAGGTGTGATCGTTTTGAAACAGATTGAGCAGCAAGGTCTGCTTCGTTGTTCTTTATTATTAGCTACCACAAATCAAGTTACTGGTTTTTTTTTTTTCATTTATCATTAAAAGTAACTTTGGACCTTTTCATTTCTCCCTTTGCCATATTGTGGTAGAAAATACAGTTGTAAAGCATAGAGAAATTATTATAGGTAATAGTTCCTTTTACTAGATATTCTGATTATATCAGTGGATTTCTGAAGTGTGAAATATTCCTAGGCATTTGGTTAATGAATTGTGTGTTGTTGCTGTTCATTCATGGAACTTGCTCTTTTATTATGTTTGCTTCACTTAACAACAAATTTTGCTTTTCATGAGTTTGATATATTTTCGCCAAATTATTTCTGATTGTATCCATTAATCTTCAGTCACATTTGACAAAAATAAATTACTCTGATCTTTGGAAGTTACCAGTAATAATTAGTTTAAGGACAGAAGTTTTGGGAGACCAACAGATGTTAAAATGGCATAAAGGAGCCCTGAAAGATGGAGAGGGAAGGACCCAAGGGCCGACTGCTCGTGCAGATGCTCCTTGGGCTCACGTGTCACTGTGCTGCTGGTGGTCCCAAACCTGGACCACCGAGTTTCATTTTCTCCTTGTCTGCCTGATATTCAGATTCCTCCAGTTGGAGGGATCTGCCATAGCAAGTTCTGTAACTGACTGCCACCTCCCCGTGTTTATGTCTGTTCTGTAAGCAAAAGATGGCCACAAAGCTATCCTGCGCTGCTTTTCTTCCTTGGGTTTCCTTATGCTCAAGTATTGATGTCTGGCTTGCAGCTGTGTGCCTAATCCAGCCTCGTGCCTGCCCTGGATCATTGAGAAGCATCTGTTAATCATGCATTTCCCATGGTCCAGCCTTCTAACAACGATGCTGCTGTCCCACACTGTGTCTGTGCAGGAGCACTGCTGGCAGTGCTGTCACATCCCTCACCCGCAGAGCTGCATCCTGTCCTGCAGTGCAGCTGGGGTCACAGCAAGCCTGCAACCCCTCTCCAAGCGTTTGTCAGAATATGCATTATAATGCAAAGCGTTCTTCCTGAGGCATTCTGTGTTCTGGATTAGTGAGAATGTTTCTGAGCCCCGTGCTCATCCCTCCTTTGTGCTAGGGAAAGACAGCAGCTGGCAGCCTCACACCTGTCTGAGTGTCTGCAAGGCTTTGTGCTGTCTGGTAGCTAACACTGTGCGTGGGCCCTTTGCCTGTACAGGATGTAAAAGAAGGATGTCTGTGTTGCAGTATGTGCATTATAAACTGCAGATCAACTCTTCTTTCCTGCAGTTCCTAGCGAAGTCGCTATATTTTGTATTAAGTCTTAACTACAAGACTTCATGTATATGGCAGGATGCTATATCCTTAGAGTGTGTGTGTGTGTATTGTGCTCTCCTTTGCTCTCCTGGATGAAAATGCAGAGGAGAAAAATAATGAAGTGCAAAAGCTGTTTCACATCTTCAGAGATGGAAAAGGTCTATCTGGTTAGTGGCACTCATAACCAGGGAAGCTGGGATTTGGTAACTTGCACATTGATAATGGCTGTTTAATTTTGCTAGTAAAATCAATTTATGGCAAGCTCATGTTTGGACAAACTCTTCAGTTATGAGTGAGAAACCCGAATATTAGAAGTAGTTCATTTGCTTCACAGTAGCAATCAGTGGGAGCTGGTTTATCTTTGAACACTGGGGATTGAAATTTTGGATTGTTGCTTTTAAGGCTGGCATACGCTTGGGTTTGGATGGGCTGATAGGCAGAGGTGAAATGCTGAATTCTTAATCCCAAAAGGCTGCTCAGACTTGGATTCAGAAAGCTCTGGAGCTCTGCATGCTCCTTCTTAACCCTGTGGCTGTTGGTAGTCTCACTGGAAAGGGCTGCAGGTTTTCAGCCTGTAGAATGGATGTATCGTCCGCTGCTCTGTTACTTTTATGTAGCCTTGTGCTGCACTTAGGTATCTTCCTTCTACATGGAGGAAAACCTCCCTCCCTCCTTCCCTGTTTCATTCAGTCTCTGAAACAAGTAAGGCTGTGCTGGAGCTCTGCCACTGTCACTGGAGTTCACCATGCTTTTCCTTGGAAGCCTTCCTCCAACCACTTCATCGCTTCTTTCAGTGGGGTAGCCTTAAGGTTTGGTTGGCTGGTTTGGGGTGTTAGCAGTCTTGTTGGGAAACCTTCTGGGGAGCAAATAATGGCAGTGCCCACATTCACAAGATGTCACAGGGATGACTTGCAAGCATCAATCCCATAAGCTCTTCCTTGAGCGTGCACCCATTGCAGGTGGGCCCTGTTCTGGCACTGGGAGCCTCTGGAGCAAACTTTGGGGAGAAGGCAGGGTTGCCAGTTATCTGTCTAGCTGCTGTGCTGTTGAAATAATTAGTGTGATAGTTTGAGCTCTCTGCTGCAAAGAGTTAAGGGGATTCATGAAAATATTGTGTTCCTGCCATGAATACAAACTATAATTTGCTTGAGGGAGCGTGGCCCCTATAATGTACTGTAATGCCTTTCTATTGTGAAATATCCAGGTTTTAATGTGCTTCTGTTTAAGTTCTGTTTTGACTTTTCCCTCAGGAAGAAGGCTAAAATTTTTCATTACAATATAGACAGTGCACTACACTTTGAATACAAATTTATCCATGTACAGAGTAATTTTTCTTGTGATTGTCTCTACCCTAGAGAAGTGTCTTTAATGAATTACATACAAATTGTGTAATTTAAGAAGTTAATTTGGTTTTCTGGTAACACAGGACTAAAAACAGCCCTTCTAGAAAGAGATGATTTCTCATCAGGGACCAGCAGCAGGAGTACTAAATTGATCCATGGTGGAGTGAGATATCTTCAGAAGGCCATCATGAAGTTGGATTTTGAGCAGGTAATTGTTTATGCAGGTTGTTAAGCAAAAATTGCTGGTAGACGCTTTCCCTATCCCAATTACATCAGAGTTCTTTATTTCTTTTTCTAATACTTGACTGCACGAGTGGCTTTGGATTGCAACACAGAAAATGTCTTCTTCAGTTGAGCTTTCCCAAACAGGGAAATTGGTGGTGCCCTTTCTTGCCAAATTCACTTACAGGCAATCCCACGGCTGTGCCTTTTAGACTGTGGATGTGTTGGGGAGGGAGGGCAGAAACCCTGACTTGAAAATAGAAGGAGCTTCTTAGCTGTCAGGCTGCAGAACCTGGAGGAGTGAGGGCTGTCCCGATGGTTCTGAAATGGGTGGGGAAAATATGACAAATAAGTGATTGTGTACATATGATAAATAAATGATTATGTGATTATGTATGTGATTAACATTTCATGTACTTTTGTGTTGCCTCAGTCTGGTGGAAGTTGATGTTCTTGCTTTTAGAAATCAATTTGTCTCACTGAGACTTCTCTAATTTAAAATACATTTTGATGAACAGTTTTCTCATTAAATGTTGCATTTTGGGGCACAATTGGGTAACTTAAAATTCATGTGTACTTATTTTTTTCAGTACAAGATGGTGAAAGAAGCACTCCAGGAGCGTGCAAACCTACTAGAAATAGCTCCTCACCTATCAGCTCCTTTGCCTATCATGCTGCCTGTTTACAAGTAAGCTCTACTATCATATCTCTCCTTTAGCACGTCCTTCGACAAGCAAGCTATTTCCCTGAAGAAGTTTCCAGATGTCTTTTCCCAGTTGTGTCTTTATACCTGTCACAACCTTCTTGTCTTCTCAGAGGTGAAGCAGTGTTGTAGAAGCATGAACTGCCCACATGGATGAGCCTGGTATCACTGCTTCCAGTAGCACCTCTTGGACTCCAACTTCTTGGTGCATTTTAACCATTACAGTTGGAGTAGAGGAAGGGAATTTGCAGCTGGAATGAACTCAGAATTCCCAGGATATTATTTACTGTTCTTTCCAGTACATCCTTGTCTTCAGTGCATGCTATTAACATTTTCTTCAAAATGTACTGTGTAGTCCTGACAGCTACCAGTGTTCTGTGCAGTAATTTAGTGTGCTGCCTTCCACTGTACGTGGCACTTTGGTGTTAAGAGGACAGTTTCTTCCTCCTGAGGAAGACTTTCAGTGATTTGGGTTAGGCTTTTAGCTCTGTGAGAGCAGTTGTTCAGTAGAACAGGCTACTCAAAGCAGTGAGCTTTTGATGAATCTTCCTAACGTGTGGCCATATTCCTGTCCTACAGAGCAGGCCTGTAATAGCTGGAGCTCATGTAGGTCAGCAGTGGGCTACATTTATTTGGTCTTACTTGTGTAGGAGGCATTAGGTCTTCCAGCTTATCTTGACTCCTCAAATGTATGTGCTGAAGCAGTCTGGTTCTTCCTTCAGTGCTCAGCTTTGATCCCTCATCTTAGGCTGAAGTAAAAAAAACAGTAGTCTGAATTCTAGAAAAAACAAGTGCTGAATTTAGTTGACTTCCTGCAGTGAGGAGACCAGCTGAAAATAGCAAACAGTATGCAGCTTTTTGAACGTTCACTTCACGTGATGTTGTGAACTTGTTCAATAGTACAAAAGTAAAACCAGCCCAATGCAGCATGCTGGGTTATGAGAAGTATTACAAGAAGTGTGAGCTTTCAATTCTTAACTTCCCGTGAGGTTACATTATTTTTTTCTTGCAGATGGTGGCAGTTGCCATATTACTGGGTTGGAATAAAACTGTATGACCTCGTGGCAGGAAGTCAGTGTCTAAAAAGGAGTTATGTCCTCAGCAAGTCGAGAGCCTTGGAGCACTTCCCAATGCTGCGCAAAGACAAGCTTGTTGGAGCTATTGTCTATTATGATGGTATGTTCCCCTTACGTGACTTTTACTACACTGTTCTGTATCTGGGGAGAGGGGGAAGGGAGGAACACATGTACATCAGCTGCACTGACTCTCCAAAGAGAAGAATGACTTGAAGGATTCAGTTCACATCTTAATTTATGTCCATCGAATTGATGCTTACATTGCTCACTACAGCAATTTATGGGATGTGGAAGAGGGTATGTTTGTTTTTCCAGCTAGTAGTTGTGGTGATATGTGAAAGCCTCCTGATGTTCTGGTGATTCCCAACAGCTTTTCAGCTGTGCTGGAGAGGCAAGGCTCTTCCTGCTGCAAATACTCTACACATGTGGTACTTGCTGCTCAGCCTGTTTTAAGTTGGACATCCTCACGACTGATAGAGCAATAAAAGCTACTCCAGATCAGCTAAGTCATATCTTGTTGGATTTCCAAATCCCATGCTTACTCCAGACTTTGCCTTTATTTAACAGGAAGTTATGTCCCCAGTGTAAAGCATACTCTGTGTAGCACTATTTGCAAGCATTTGCTCTGAATTCTTCTCAGACTGAATACATCTTCCAAGTTATTACATGTCAAGCAATTGTGGTCATTCTGATAGCTCACTGTAGTATTTCTGGTTTGGAAAGAGTTTCAAACTTAAGATTTCTGCCAAAACACCTTTGAGTAGAGTTACAGAATCATGTGAGGAAAAAGTTACCTCCAGCTTGAGTTGTTATGAAGACTGTTGGTTACGATAGATTCTGATATGTTTTTGTATAACATACACAGTCAGCCTTAGAGAGAACAGATGCTTGCTGCAAGTTTTCTGATGCTGCATTTGTTTTGAAAGAGCAGTTCTTGTGTTCAGAAGTGTTTCTGCTTACTCAGGAGCACAAATGTGATGCAGGAATGCTGGTAAGTCTCCTTCTTTTGTTCTGTGCAACAAGCACTGGTAAGTCCCTAGCAGAGTCACAGCAATAGGTGCCACAGCAGGTCTTCTGAGCAGAGTCCCTGTTTATATCTCATCAGTGTCTGCAGATACTGGAGGCAGTCTGAAACAAAACTGGTAAAGGATTAGTTGGTTTCCTTGGCATAGAACTACCTGGAAGTCTTGCTTGTCCAGAATATTAGCACTTGTGTTGGGTCAGGTGTGTTGAGCTTTGTCCAAACTGTGACATCTCAGTGCTTTCTACTGTTATGCAAGCTGTATCCCTGAACTGACAGAACTTCAGTGTTCTTAGGTACTGAATTTTGTATGGATTCTAAATGCTGGAAAGACTTGAGTTGGAGTATACTGTCATAACTGCTTTCTTGATGCACTGGGTTCTGATAGCATATCTAGAAGATAGGGCACTTTTATTTTGTAGCAGATTTGCATGCTGTTTTGTAGCATGTTTTGGTGGATTGTTTATTCCCTGTTTTCCATTTCCCTTATTTTGCTTCCAAAAGAGAAAGTTCTCCTAAAACTTTCTTCATAATGAGGCCGTTTTGGTAATATCAAAGCAGAAGTGTGTCAAGGATAGGAGGACAAGAAGGCGCCGGATTCCTTGCAGGCCTGGAGGAGCCCTCTGATGGATAAATAGCTTAAATGCTGAGTGCCTCAGTAGTGGCACAGTTCCACTTAGTTTTTACCTGGAGATGATGTTGCTTTTTGACCTTTTGGAAACCAGGAATGTCTTCACACACAATTGATGACAGAGGCTGTACTTTTCTCTTTTTAGAACTTCATTTATACTATTCATCAGCTTATCAATAGGGGCTTTTGTACCGGGAAGAAGTAGGAGGGCCTCTTGAAACATGCTGGCTTGGGTAATATTAGCGAGGCCTCTGGCATAAGTGCATGCTGGTGACTGTGAGCTGTCTGACACTGAGGCCAGTGGAGTGAAAAATAGACTGGGATGCTTGTGTGCATAGGTTCTTATTTGGGAATGCAGTGAGAGTTAAAAGATGGACTTAAATTCTTCTGAGAGAGGTAAAAATTTAGTTTAAGATACAGAGGAAATAAATGGTTATTTGAAAACAAGATTCTTTTAATGGGGTTTTGTGGCATTTTAACTGTGTCAAATGAAAGAAATGAAAACCTTCACGTACCATAACGAGAGCTGCTGTAAATAATGCACAGGAGTAATTCAGGCTTATTTTTTCATTATTATAAGCTATTCCTTCTCTTAGGCTGTTAAGAGGTCCCAGGAGTTCATAAGAACAATGAATTACACTGTAATTAGCTTCTCAAAAGAGCACTATGGCTTGGGAATCTATAATCTATAATCCATTGAAGCCTTTCCTGATGAAATAGATAATTTGGACATATCATGACCCTGTACAACTCCAGCATTCTGAAAGTATACAGTCACAGGATAACCTTAAAGATAATCTCTGAAGTTTCTCTGAATAATTGTTTTAAACGGTGTTACAATAGATGTAAACATTCGGTGCCAAGATGCCACGTGGTTTTTCCGTGGCAAACATCTGTGCAGCAGCAGAGATCATAGAATCATAGAACAGTTGGGTTGGAAGGGACCTCAAGGATCATGAAGCTCCAACCCCCCGCCACGGGCAGGGCCACCAACCTGCACATTTCATAGCAGCCCAGGGCCCCATCCAACGTGGCCTTGAACGCCTCCAGGGATGGACGGGGCATCACAGCCTCTGGGCAGCTGTTCCAACACAGTGATGCTGGCAGGACTTCCAGGCTGATGGGGTGAGATCTCAAAAGCAGGTGTTAGGTTTTGCCTCTGGTGAAATTTGTTTCTGCTCATGCTATTACCAGCTTTGCTTTGCTTTTCTCTTAAAGCTGTGGGCTGCTATAGATCAAGTTACACACTGATCTTTTTCAGAATTTAGAGAAATACTACTGGCAGTTAACATCAGCACCAACCAAACAAAATGTGCAGCTCCTTAAAGCCTCAGCTAAATGCAGAGGAGCTTCTGAAAGGCAGAGGTGTCATCTGCTGAGTGATGCAGCTTTGAGCTGCGTGTATGCAGGGTAAAGCGAGAATGACAGCGTTATGTCAGTTCTTAAGGTCCCCCATCCAGAATGAGACCTGACAGGTAGGTGTGTGCCGCAGTGTTTCTCCACTGGTCAGCCTGTGGTCCATGGTCTGTGTGGGCTCACGTTACTCTATGAAGCGTTTATTCGTTTATCTTGATCAGTTAACTTGTGCTCTGTCAACACGAGTCAGCCAGCACACTACATTGTAAATCTATTAAGTGGGATTTTAACAAGTCCAAAGGAATGGAGCGCGGAAGGGAGTGGAAACTGAACTTAAAGTGGAGAAGGGAAAGATATGGTTGAATTATGCTCACTTTAATTCTTTCACCAGAATTAGTCATGAATAAGAGCATTAAGTCATGGCAAAAAAAAACCAAACAACAACGCTCAGAACATTTGAATCTTAAAATAGGTTCGTGTCTTTCCTCTTCATCCATGTTTTCCCTGTGTAAGTAACAAATAAAATTCTTATCTCATATTCTTGTGTTCTCTGTTCCTGCCTCTGTCATAATTCCTGTCTCTATTGTAGCGCCTTTGTATCTGTAGCTGTAAATAGCCCCAGCTAGCAGCATCTTGCTGTTGGGCATGTTGATTGCCACCACCAAAGGGAAGAATTTAAACTGCTCATTATGTGGGTTACTTTTTAATTTGATAAAACCACCTCTCCAGTGATATTAGCATTGCCACCAATACTGCCTTGCAAAGACAAGAAACAGCAATGCTCTTTGCTTTTTTTTCTGTAATTGTTGATCAAACCAGTGGTGTGTCAAGTGATCCATTATTCACGAATATTTTGTATTCTGCAGTGTTGCCACGGTCGTCTTAATTACATTTTTAAAAATTGTTTGTACAGGCAAAAAAAGATGGTGCATTATAAATGTTGGAAGTACCAGCAATAGCAAATCAGAGGCTTTACCAGAGGCTATTCTTGCTCCGTCTCAGCATCGGGAAGCTAAAGCATATGTTGGATGTTAGCCTGGGTGTACACAATGTGTCCTATTTATTCAAGGTTTTCTTTGAAGCCACAACTTACAAGTTTGTTTCTTAGGGGTACATGTCAGACTGCATTTAGCATTTGTTGGTATTAGGATACTCCTGAATAGCAAAAAGGCAACATTTTGGGGGAAGAACGTGGCTGCTATCTGAGCAGTGATCTGTCAGTTCCATTTATGTAGCTCAAGGAAAACTAGAAGGGAGGCACTATGGAGAGCTGGCCTGAGATCTCAAGATCATATGCAGAATTATTTTAAAGCATTTTAAACGGAAGAATTAATCTCCATTTAAATCATACGTAGTGCATGATGTTAAAAACTAGGAGAAACATTAAAGAGGAGATGCAAGTGGCCAGAATATTTATTTAGAAATTCTAAGTGGCGCAGAGCTCCTTAAGATGCATTGCTTTCTATCTTTAGATGCTTGCACACTTCTCTGCTTACATATTTTGCCTTTCAAGATGAGCCTTTAGGTGTGTGAGGAAAATGTTTGTTCTTGAATCAGTCATGAATTAAAAATTTTTAGGGTTTTTTTGTTGTTGTTGTTGACCTTGCTCTTGGAATTTGCTGTTACTTTCTGCAAATAGGAATTAGCAGACACTGCTTCTGTCACTGGGTGGCTTCAGGGGAGCTGACTGCTTCATGTCTTGTTCTGCGACTTTCCAGTATGCTTACTGGGATGCAAGTAGCTGTTCTTCGTATTCTTGGTATTTATTCTCTCCTGAAATGTTTTAATATGAAGGTTATTTAAACATAAAGGGGCGGCCCCCCCCCCCCACAAAAAAGCATTGGCAAAGGATTTAGCTTTCCTTGTGTACAGCAAACCCCATGAGAAATCCTTCCTGGGCACGCAGGCACACACACCGACACACACAAAAATCAATGCAAAAGAGTAGAGCATTCATTAAGCTGTCAAAAATGGAATAAATGCTTTTTTTTTTTTTATTTAGGCTCTTGTAGCTATTTTTCCTAGTTTTTGAGTGTGTCCTGAATTATGAAATGTTACAGCTTTATAATTCATACTTGACAAATTAATATTT